GTTCGTCCTTTTCTCAAGTAGTAAGTAAGTAGAACTACTAGTTTACTAGGGGGTGAAGGACTGGGAATGGAAGCTGACTTCCCCAGTCCCCCTTCATAATTTGACAAGCAGTCTTCCCAGCCAGTGCATTAACCTGGGGAAATATTTTCTTATTGCTTATGAAGTTGAAAACTTTACACTGCTTCAGTGCTGACGACACCCTGGATGCTCTCGGGCCCAGTAGGCGAAATTATGCTGCTGCCTTTTGCCCCCATGCGTAAAAGGTGTGTTTCCTCTGTCCGGCTCTTGTCTCTTCATAAAACTTGTAGGTGTTTGGTGAAACTCGTTTGGGTTTTGGGAGCCGTCAGCCTCTGTGAACACTGGATTGAAGTTGGGTAGTGAGTGGAGGGGGGGGGCGGTGATGTACGTGTGTGGGGAGCGGTGAGACTGACAAGGAGTGGAGGCATCGCACAGTGTGAGCGTTTTAGCTTGGCTTCCTGAGGACAAGGCTTAAAAAAAGATTGAAACACAGATGAAGTGCTGGGGGAGGAGAGGATTGTGTGCTTTGACACCTTATCCTAGGGGTTACTGAAGGTGATGATTTCAGCAACTGCTTTTTTTTTTAATAAATGGCAGATCTTAGGGAAGTTTTATAACTTGAATATATATCTCTGAATTGTCTTTAATTACCAAAGCATATCCTCAAGGAGAGGTTATGTGGTGAGAGTCCTCTTGTGGGCACTTGATTGGCTTCAGTAAGCTGGGCAGAGAAGCGAACAAGCACAGGAACATCTCTTCCCAAGAGAAATTCCTTGTTCTGGAAACAATCTGTAATATGATGTATTTAATATTCATCTAAGACAGATTTTTTGGGGGTTACTTCAATTGTTAGTGGTCACAAAATTTATCAAAAATATTAATGGCCAATGAAAATGAATTTTTCATACGGGGTGAACTTTTGCTCTCATAGCGCTGTTTCTAACCGGAATGGACAGCTCCCACAAAATGTAGTCTGGAATGCTGATCAAATACACTGCAGAAAAAAACAAGCACTTTTACTCTGTCAGAATGAAAATTTTCTCTCCACTATGTGGCGATAAGTTTTGTGTTCATCCCGTGTGGTGATACTGTGGAGGAGTAGCATGAGAGCTTCCATGTTCAAGGTGATGAAGCGCTTGCGTCGAAAGGTACTGGCACGATTGGAAGTCTGGCAATGTACCATGTGGATTTTTGTGGCAGAACCTTGCAGTGTGAGGATTAAACCCAGGGTTAGCACTTCCTTCAGCTCTGCTGAAGCTCGCAGGAGGATTTGAAGATGCTCTGAATAAGAACACTTCTTACTGCAAGCTGTAATTGTCAGTAAGGGGGGGAAGAGGGGACTCAGCTACCGGGCCTTTCTGCATCTAAAACCCTAATGATGGTTTTCAAGAATTCACTGTCATAAAGAGATCTCTGCTAGGATTTTACATGAGTACAGGGTTTCTGTCCTGTAACTTAAAACAGGTGATGGAAACAATTTGGAGGACTCTTCAGACTACATGGAAGTGCCCTTAAAACAAACAAGTGTTAGTCTGTTGGTCTTGCACAGTGAAGCTGAGGTTCTTGGGGGTCTTTCTGGCTCTGTTGCTGCCCCTTTCTGCTTCTCATCCCTTGCAGTGCAGAAATAAAAAGTTAAATTTGTAAGACTGCCTCTAGACCTTTGCTGATCTCCCCACAAGTTAAATTGAACCCTAGATTTGATTTCCCCAGAAGGGGGG